CGAATGCTACAGCGAAAACAGATATGCTACAGCAGAAACAGACGTGCTACAGCAGCAACAGAGATGCTCAGCGCAGCAGACGATGCTACAGCAGAAACAGATGATGCCCCAGCAGAAAGACGATGCTACAGCAGCAACAGACGATGCTACAGCAGCAGCAGATGATGCTACAGCAGCAACAGACGATGTACAGCGGGCAGCAGACGATGCTACAGCAGCAACAGACGATGCTAAAAGCAGCAGCAGACGATGCTACAGCAGCAACAGACGATGCTACAGCAGCAGCAGACGATGCACAGCAGCAGCAGACGATGCTACAGCAGCAACAGACGATGCTACAGCAGCAGCGACGATGCTACAGCAGCAACGGGACAATGCTACAGCAGCAACAGACGATGCTACAGCAGGCAGCAGATGATGCTACAGCAGCAACAGACGATGTACAGCAGCAGCAGACGATGCTACAGCAGCAGCGGGAGTTACTACGCAGCAGCAGCAGCTGACGGTGGTACAACAGCAGCAGCAGCTGACAGTGCAGCAGCAGCTGTACCACCAATAGTAGCGATGGTTGATTGGGGTTTATTATACAACCGGGCCCAGCTCGGAGACACACACTCCATTTTTCTTACTTATTCAATGATCTTTTTCTTCATCTCTATAGTAATTCTCACCCTTATTGCTGTAGGGTTGGCACTAGAAGCTTTCTTGGGGCCCATGGTCATTTATTTTCCAGAAAAAATCACCAAAAACACTGTAATAATACGAAATGTTCCGATTGTATGCTTGGATGTTACCGCGGAGGCTGGCTGGTAAACAATGCCACCGGGGGAACATGTGAGCGTGGCTCAGGCCGCACATTGGACGGTCTCGGACAAAGGGAAGTGGTAAAGTGGGTTTTTGGGTGGTATGCGAGGCAAATTTTTGGCGAGAAAAGCGAGCGGTATGCGGATTGTACGGTATCCGATGCGTGCGGTATGCTGGGGTCCACTGTATTTCTGTTTATGGTCAAATGGGTGAGTGAGTGTAAGTGTTAACCACCAGGTGGTATTGGGTGTAATTAGTTGACAGGGTGTATCAGGGAGATAAGATGTTTTCTGATGGTAGTTTTGAAGGTGATGAATGTGTCTGCAGTTTTAGAATTTTCAGGTAGGGTGTTCCAGATTTTAGGGCCTTTGACATACATTGAATTTTTGTAAAGGTTTAGTCGGACAGGGGGAATGTCATAGAGATTGTTTGTGTTGTGTTGTGCCTGTGGGTTCTGTCACAACTATCAGAAAGCATTTTAGGTCAAGGTTTAATATTGGAATTTAAGGTCCTGTAGATGTAATTGCACAGTAGTAAGTGTGGATGTATGAACAGGGAGTAAGTTTAGATCTATGAAGAGTGTGGGGGGGGTTTTTGCCAGGGATGGGATTTAGTGATTATTCTTACTGCGGCTTTTTTTTTGGGTTATTATTTGGCTTTAGTGTGTTGCTGCAGTTGAACCCAAGCACAGATAGATAGGTGAGGGATGGATATATAAGTGATGGTATAATTGGAGAAGGGCAGTTTGCGGCACGTAGTATTGTATCTTGGAGAGGATTTCCCCAAACCCTTTTGGATACTTTTTTGGTTAGTGTTGGATATGGGTGCTGAGGGTTTAGGTTGTTGTCGGGTATAGGCCTAGGAATTTGCCCTCATTATGCCCGGCAATTAGGAGTGTTGTCGATCTTAATGTTAATTTGCACATCTCCTGCTCTGCTACCAAACATAATGTAGTAGGTTTTTTTGTCAGTTTTTAAGGCGTTTAATTTATTGGCTGTCATCCAAGTCGATATTTTGATCAGCTCCTCATTAACAATGGTGTTGAGGGTGGCAAGATTAGGGTGAGAAGATGACATAAGTGTGTCGTCAGCAAAAAAGAATGGGTTCAGGTGTTGAGATAGTTTTCACAAAATAACCCGCACATAAAAAGAGAGAAGCTTACGACGATGTTTCGGTCCGACTTGGACCATTGACAAAGTCACAAAGTCAGTGTGGGCCCTTTGTCAATGGTCCAAGTCGGACCGAAACGTCGTCGTAAGCTTCTCTCTTTTATGTGCGGGTTATTTGTGTATCGTTCCAGTCACGGTATTGTGCCTTTTTTGTTATTTATTTGAGTACGTTTGGAAGATCATTGATGTATAAAAGAGGAAGAGCAGGGGACCAAGGACACTTCCCTGCGGAACTCCAGTATCAAGTGGCTGTGTTGTTGAAAGCTTTTGTCTTCAATGGTGACATACTGATACCTATTAGTAAGGCAAGATTTGAAATATGGAAACGCATGGCCTCTTATACCATAATGGTCAAGTTTGTGGAGTAGGATGCCATGGTCTACTGTGTCAAAAGCTTTTCTTAGGTCAGTAAAAATTCCTAGTGGATATTCCTTATTTTCCAATGCTGTGTAAAGCAGATCTAGCATTTTTATGATTGCATCGTTAGTGCTTTTATTTTTCCTGAATCCAAATTGGCAGGGGTTGAGTATGTTTTGTGCCGTTATAAATGAATATAGTCTCCTGTGCACGAGTTTCTCAAAGATTTTGGGTAGCAATGGTAAGTTTGATATTGGCCTATAGTTGTTTAAATCTGTAGGGTCACCACCTTTATGTATTGGTGTAACCCTTGCCATCTTGAGTAGTTTCGGGAAGGTGCTAGTTTCTAGTGACTTGTTAAAAAGTAATGAGATAGCATGCAAGAGGACATGGGCCGCTCTCTTGTACAATAATGGTGGGACATGGAGACAGATTTCCCTGAGTTATATTTTAAGTGACTTTATAATCTCAGTGACTTCCATGGGCTCAGTTGGAGCAAGATAGAAGGAATTTGGTAAATTCCCATCTAGGTAGTCCCCGGCATGGGCATTGATACGTGTGATTTTATTGGCGAGATTAGAACCTATGGTTGAGAAGAAGTCGTTTATCTTGTTAGCTGTGTCAGTGGGATGCAGTGGTGTTTCATTAGTTTAGTTAGGGTAATATTCTTGTTTTTTTTCAGTTTGTGGGTCCCTAGTATCTGAGAGAGTGTTTTCCAGGTCTTTTTTATATCTCCTCTTGTGTCAGTGAATCTACTGGAGTAGTATAGTTGTTTGGCTTTCTTTATTACTTTGGTGAGGACTGATGCATAGTGTTTAAGAATGTCTTTGTGTATTAAGCCCTGTCTATATTGCTTTTCATATTGGTGTTTCTTATCAATGGATTTCAGAATGGTGCTGGTTAGCCATGGGCAACCAAGCGTTTGTTTGTGATCTGTTTCGTTTTTATAGGACAATGTTTGTTGTATAGTCTAAGTAATTTGTTAAGAAAAATGTCTGTCCAGTCATCAATACCATGGGCCTTGGAGAATTCTGTAGGCCAGTCAACAGTCTCTAGGTCAGCTGTGAACTTCCTTATTGAGGCCTCATCATGGAGTTTAAATGAAACTTTGTTGTATTCAAGTGGTGGTTTTACTAATGTTTGTCAAGAGAAGGTAGGGTAGTGGTCTGTAGTGCTATCTGTGATTATCCCTGATTTAAGGGGGGCTAGTATATTGGTCCATATGTGGTCTATTATGGTTGCAATTGTTTCAGTGAGCCTGGTTGGTTTAGTTATTGTTAGTATGAGAAGTGTGTTGTTCATATTGTTGATGAAATCAGTTACAGGCTGATCATCTAGTAGGCCAAGGTTGATGTTGAAGTCTCCAGCTAAGAGAAGGTGGTGCTTATTTATTTGTCTGTTTGTTATTAGTGCCTTTAATTTCTCACTGAAATTTGGGATGTTTGTTTGGGGTATCCGGTAAATGGCACCGATTGTTATAGGCGTCTTAAGGTTTTTTTACAGTAAAATTAGCAAAAATGTATCTCCGTTTTCATCACTAAAGCAAGTGGTGCTAATACAAGATAACTGGTTAGAGTAATAGATTGCAATACCACCCCCAACTTGGTATGGTCTGCAGTTGTGGATTGCTGTGTGTCGTGGTAGAGGGTAGATATCTATTGTGTCCTGCTTAAGCCAGGTCTCAGTAAGAATAATGCAGGAGAAGGGTGTCTTTAGTGATTCAAGGAGTGCCAGGAGGTCATCATAGTGTTTGCTTAAGGACCTAATGTTGTAATTAAGTACTGATAGACTTTTAGCATTGTTTAGGATAGTGCTGGCTTGTGATGCTGTGTAGTAAAGGCAGTTACTTTACATTGTGGGAATGCCATTTCAGTCGTCCTTTTTCAGCATGCTTAGTGGTAAGAAATATGACTCCCCAGCAGATCTGGGGCTCTTCTCTTCCCAAGCGATGCTCTAACACAGATGGAAGTGTCAGTGAAGATCAGTTTCATGATTTCGAGGAGTTTGAGACCAAAAGCATTGGAGGAGGAGGAGGAGGAGGAGGAAGAAGAAGAAGAGGAGGAGAAGAGGAGGAGGAAGAGGAGGAGGAGGAAGAAGAAGAGGAGGAGGAAGAGGAGGAGGAGGAAGAGGAAGAGGAGGAGAAAGAGGAAGAGAAAGTGAAGCAAGAAAAAAAAAGTCCACCCCTTAACAGTGGCAAGATAATGGGAGACAGCATCTGATAAGAGCTGACGTTTAATGAGCGTAAAGGAGTGTGGGGGAGGGTGCAGCTGATAAGAAAAGATTAGATGATCATTGCCCTTCCTTTGTTTTTGCTGGTACACAAACATTTATGTCTGTCTATTTGTCTGTCTGTCAAGCTCCCTGTCTATCTGTCTAGCTCTCTGTCTCAGAGAGAGCCACAAGACTGTGTCATCATGACCTTTACTCACATCTTCAAGCAGAGTACAGTGGACCCCCGGTTAACGATATTTTTTCACTCCAGAAGTATGTTCAGGTGCCAGTACTGACCGAATTTTTTCCCATAAGAAATATTGTGAAGTAGATTAGTCCATTTCAGACCCCCAAACATACACGTACAAACGCACTTACATAAATACACTTACATAATTGGTCGCATTCGGAGGTAATCGTTATGCGGGGGTCCACTGTATAGCACTTTGTCTGGATTTTTTGGGTTATCCTAGGCAATTTACCCTATGTGTACTTGTATTTCTGTATACCTGTGAGACAGAGATAGACAGATAGAAAGAGAGAGACAGATTGAAAGAGATAGAATGAAGGAGAAAGATAATTAGATAGAATGGAGGGGAAGCAGCATCCAACCCCATTGTTTTGACAGGTGGTAGGGGGAGTGAGTAATGAGATAATATGTCATTTTGACAGCTGCCGACTCCTGACTCAAAACAATTATAAGCCACACACTCGCACACAAGACAAGCTTGATGAATGAAGATAATAGCAGTTATATGAAAGTATCTAGTGAGTATATATGTGTATATATATTATAGAAACCGTGGTGCAGCAACAGCTGATTGGTCCAGCAACAGCTGACCGTGGTGCAGCAACAGCTGACTGAACCAGCAACAGCTGACTGGTCCAGCAACAGCTGACTGTGGTGCAGCAATAGCTGACTGGTCCAGCAATAGCTGACTGGTCCAGCAACAGCTGACCGTGGTGCAGCAACAGCTGACTGAACCAGCAACAGCTGACTGGTCCAGCAACAGCTGACTGTGGTGCAGCAACAGCTGACTGGTCCAGCAACAGCTGACCGTGGTGCAGCAACAGCTGACTGAACCAGCAACAGCTGACTGTGGTGCAGCAACAGCTGACTGGTCCAGCAACAGCTGACCGTGGTGCAGCAACAGCTGACTGGTCCAGCAACAGCTGACCGTGGTGCAGCAGCAGCTGACTGTGGTACGATAGTATTTCTCACCCTTTTTACCACAGGGTTGGCACTAGAAGCTTTCTTGGGGCCCATGGTGACTTATTTTGCAGGTACAAACTTAAAATGCTGTGATAATATGAAATGTTCCGATTGTATGTTTGGATGCGCCCGCAGTGGCTGGCTGCTTGTAAACACTGGCACCCACGGAACAAGTGAGGTGTGCTCAGGCCGCAAGTGGACACTTCTCGAACGGAACAAATGATACGTTGGTCGAGTTTTTTAGCACTAGTCGAGGCAAAATTTTTGCGTTAAAATGTATCGCTAGTCAGATTTAACGTTACACGATGCCATTGTTGGTCGAGGGTCCACTGTATATTATAGAACAATAGTAAAAAAAATTTTTTGTATTGTTTGTGTAAAGTTTTTTAAACAATATATTGATAATTACATTTGTGCGCTTATTGTGTTGTATACAACTAGTGTTTATATGTACATTGCACCTTACTTTGGACTCACAGGCCACCTAAGTTACATGAAAAAATAAAATAGTGAAAAAACAAGAAAACCTTGGAATGCAAGTAAACCAAAGTTTACCAGGTGAGTGGCATTCACCACTGTTGCCATACACGGCTCATTTTCTGCCAACTTTATGCCTCTATATCTCAATAAATTCTGATTGCAATTTTTTTTTTGGGGGGGGGGGCGGGGGCTTAAAACAATCAGAAAATTAATCTTAACATTTTCATAAAAAAATTTTTTTTTTTTTATTTCTTTGACACCAGTAGACACTTCAGGATTTGGGGTTGTGTCAGTCAAAGGGTTAAAGTGATACTTTGCTTTACTGTACTGTTTAATGTTTTTGTATGTGTAACGTTTTATCCAGTGTGTTGTAGGTTAATTATAAATAGCTAATGTATATAACTATGATAATGAGAATTCAAAAGATTTAGTGTATATTTTAACAAAAGTTATTTTTCACAGGCTAGCAGCAAGCCAGAGTGTAAAGTGTGTTTCAATAATTATGATGAAGATCTACGACGGCCACGATCACTGCCGTGTGGCCACACATTCTGCTCACAGTGTATTGAAGATACAATAAAGAATGTTAAACTCATCTGCCCTAGCTGCCGTGCTGAGCACAGTGCTATAACTGCTACTTGATTCCCCGTCAACTTTGGTATGGAAGATGTCATAAAGAATCTCAAAGATATCCAAGTCACACCAGTGGGAGCAGTGCCTGCTAAACCTGGTCAAAACCGCACAAGAGGCATCAGCAAGAAGCTATGGTGTTTGGTACAGGAACACAAGAGCAGTATCAGTAGCCTTATAAGTGAGTGCGAAGAAGCACTGTCCCAGCTGGGCAAGTACCAGGGGCAGGTGAGGGACTGGAAGACCCAGCACCACCAGCTGCACAGCAGACTCTGTGATCTACTGCAGCAGAACAAGGCAGCAATAGAGCTCCTGGAACAAGAGGATACCAGTGTGGTGAATATGACAACAGAAGGAGAGGCAGGAAAGAAGCAGCTGCAGACCATGCTGGAGTGCCTCAACACAGTCAACACTGTACAGGAGGTCGTCACAACCATTGATGAAGCTGATCACTGCAACTTGGAGGTTGAAGATTGGATCCAGAAGTGTCAGGAACTTTTCCCAGATGTCAACACTGTCTACACCTCAGTGAAGGTATGATGCCACAAACACTTCTGAACTTTCTATAGTAATTTCTTAACTCATATTTATATATAGGTAGTAGGTTGGTAGACAGCAACCACCCAGGGAAGTACTACTGTCCTGCCAGATGACTGTGAAACAGAAACCTGTAACTGTTTTGCATGATGGTAGGATTGCTGGTGTCTTTTTCTGTCTCATAAACATGCTAGATAACAGGGATATCTTGCTACTCCTACTTACACTTTGGTCACACTTCACAGACACGCACATGCATATATATATGCATACATCTAGGTTTTTCTCCTTTTTCTAAATAGCTCTTGTTCTTCTTTATTTCCTCTATTGTCCATGGGGAAGTGGAAAAGAATCTTTCCTCCGTAAACCATGCATGTCATATGAGGCGACTAAAATGCCGGGAGCGATGGGCTAGTAACCCCTTCTCCTGTAGACATTTACTAAAAAAGAGAAGAAGAAAAACTTTATAAAACTGAGATGCAGAGGTTGGTGGATTAATTTGGTAGGGTATGCAAAAGAAGAAAATTAAAAGTGAATACAGGAATGAGTAAGGTTATGAGGATAACAAAAAGATTAGGTGATGAAAGATTGGATATCAGATTGGAGGGAGAGAGTATGGAGGAGGTGAATGTATTCAGATATTTGGGAGTGGACGTGTCAGTGGATGGGTCTATGGAAGATGAAGTGAATCATAGAATTGATGAGGGGAAAAGGGTGAGCGGTGCACTTAGGAGTCTGTGGAGACAAAGAACTTTGTCCTTGGAGGCAAAGAGGGGAATGTATGAGAGTATAGTTTTACCAATGCTCTTATATGGGTGTGAAGCATGGGTGATGAATGTTGCAGCGAGGAGAAGGCTGGAGGCAGTGGAGATGTCATGTCTGAGGGCAATGTGTGGTGTGAATATAATGCAGAGAATTCATAGTTTGGAAGTTAGGAGGAGGTGCAGGATTACCAAAAATGTTGTCCAGAGGGCTGAGGAAGGGATGTTGAGGTGGTTCGGACATGTAGAGAGAATGGAGCGAAAAGAATGACTTCAAGAGTGTATCAGTCTGTAGTGGAAGGAAGGGGGGTAGGGGTCGCCTAGGAAAGGTTGGAGGGAGGGGTAAAGGAGGTTTTGGGTGCGAGGGGCTTGGACTTCCTGCGGGCATGCTGGGGAGCGTGTTTGATAGGAGTGAATGGAGACAAATGATTTTTAATACTTGACGTGTGTTGGAGTGTGAGCAAAAATAACATTTATGAAGGGATTCAGGGAAACCGGCAGGCTGGACTTGAGTCCTGGAGATTGGAAGTACAGGGGTCTGCACTCTGAAGGAGGGGGGTTAATGTTGCAGTTTAAAACTGTAGTGGTAAAGCACCCTTCGGCAAGACAGTGATGGAGTGAATGATGGGAAAGTTTTTCTTTTTGGTCCACCCTGCCTTGGTGGGAATGGGCCAGTGTGTTAATAAAAAAAAATTTATAATAAATAGTGTATGTTTACGCCTTCTTACTTCCCAATGGGGTTCCCTTTTTAAAGACCCGTGGTAAACGAATTCGTCACTGTGGGGAACCACCCCTTATTTTTACAGTGGTACCTCGAGTATTGGCAATTCGTTCCAGAAGGCTGTTAAAATTTGCCTTTACGAAGAATTTTTTCCTGTAAGGAAAAATGAAAATTAGATTAGCCCTTTTTCAGAATCAAAAAAAATACACTTACAAAAGCACTTACAATAATACATTACAAAATTTGTTGGGGTTTTTACTTTGCTGTGAAAATCCTTTCAATTTTTTCTTTTTAAGGGTTTTTAATACAACACAAAAAAGGTCAAAAACTCATTCCAAGATTTCCCAGGAAATGTGCGCTTAGCTATTACATTGTGATTTCTTTCTTTTTATTTTTTGAGAAAAATCATGTTTTTTTTTTTAGCTTTACACAGATAAGAGTAATCTTCTTGGTTACCCTTCAGGGGACATTATGTTTTCTGTAATGATGTGGTCATTGTTTTTTTTTTATTTTTCATGGGGCTGGATGGGGTTCACTTTTTAGGTTTGGGGGGAGCACTGGCTAAGCAAAATGGGGGAGTGTTAGGTCTTTTACTAGAAATAGTGGTAGGGTTTTTCATGGAAAATCAAGATATTCTGGTGTAGCGGGCAGTTGGAGTTTTAAGGAAACCCGTTATAGGAAAAAAGAGGAAGGGAAATTTTTGTGAACATAGGAAAACCAATGGCATTTGGGATAAGGAGAGTAACAGGCATAAAGGAGGACCAGAACAGCAGAAAAAAAAAGAGAGAAGGGGGGGTTTTAAAATATTTTACTAAAGTGTAGTGCAAGAAAAAAAAAGGACGAATTGAGATTACTTGGAAGTGGGGGTAAAAATGATGTTTTTGCCCAAAAAAGAGCGGGTTTAATATAAAAAAAAAGGGCGCCTGTGAATCTCACATTCAGGTTTTTTAAATTATTTCAAGTAGACAGAAATACGGAAAAAGGGGGGAGGGTGGCACTCTATGTCCCAGATCTTTTAAAATTTTTGCATAAAAATGGTATAAAGTCTGAAAAAAAATACTGAGTTGTTTGGGGAGAATTTTCAGGGGGCATAAAAAAATTGATTTTTGGCGTGTTTTTACCGTCCCCCAAACTTGGATAGAGACCAAGGAAGACTACTTGCGGGAGGAAATTTTTAAGGCCACAAGGGCACGACAACGTTGTAATTCTAGGAGACTTTAAACTTTAGTCAGATTGACTGGAATTTTTTGACAGGGAATTTAGAATCTAATGACTTTTTAGAAGTAGTTCAGGATTGTTTTTTGAAGCAGTTTGTGGCAGAACCTACAAAAGGTAATAACCTGCTTGACTTGGTTCTGGCAAACAAGGAATCACTTGTTAATAATTTAGAAATTTCAGAGGAACTTGGCACAAGTGACCACAAATCAATTACCTTTAGCATTGAATGGAAGGATGATATTAGGGATAACTCAGTAACAGTCCCAGATTTTCGCTTAGCAGATTACGATGGGCTTAGAGAACACTTATCATCAGACTGGGGTAATGAAGAGAGCTATCAATATGAGAGTTTTCTAAACACTATACATGCTGCCCAAAGAACATTTATCCCATGTAAAGAAATTAGATCGAACAGAAATGACCCAAAATGGATGAATAATAGGCTCAAATATCTTTTAGGACAGAAAAAGGGAATTTATAGGTGCATCAAAAGAGGTGAGGGTCATCTTATGAATCAGTATATTAACATTAAGAGAGACATTAAAAAGGGGATAAGAAAAGCCAAATGGGACTATGAAATTAAAGTTGCCAGAGATTCAAAAACTAACCTGAAAATTTTTTTCCAGGTTTATAGAACAAAAGTTAGAGATAAGATAGGTCCTCTTAAAAATAACTACGGGCATCTTATTGACAAAGAGAACGAAATGTGCTCGATTTTAAATACAGTGGACCCCCGCTTAACGATCACCTCCCAATGCGACCAATTATGTAAGTGTATTTATGTAAGTGCGTTTGTACGTGTATGTTTGCGGGTCTGAAATGGACTAATCTACTTTACAATATTCCTTATGGGAACAAATTCGGTCAGTACTGGCACCTGAACATACTTCTGGAATGAAAAAATAATGTTAACCGGGGGTCCACTGTAATTATTTTCTCTCGGTTTTTACTCAGGAGGACACTAACAATATCCCAGTGATAAATTTTTATAGTGGGCCTGAAGACGATAAATTATGCAATATCATAGTCACTAGCGAAATGGTTATCAAACAGATAGACAGACTGAAGCAAAATAAATCCCTGGGCCCTGATGAACTTTTTTCTAGGGTTCTTAAGGAGTGTAAAATGGAACTTTGTGAACCATTAACTAATATTTTTAATATTTCTCTTGAAACAGGTGTAGTGTCTGATATGTGGAAGATGGCTAATGTAATTCCTATTTTTAAAGCAGGGAACAAGTCGTTGCGGTCAAATTACCTCCCAATAAGCCTAACCTCAATTGTGGGCAGGTTACTAGAGTCAATTATAGCTGATAATATAAGATGCCATCTGGATGAGCATAGCTTGATTAACCCTTTGACTGTCGCGGCCGTATATATACGTTTGTGAGGTACCGTGTTTGACGTATATATACTCATAAATTCTAGCGGCTTCAAATCAGGCAGGAGAAAGCTAGTAGGCCCACATGTGAGAGAATGGGTCTGTGTGGTCAGTGTGCACCACATAAAAAAAATCCTGGAGCACGCAGTGCATAATGAGAAAAAAAAAACTCCGACCGTTATTTTTTAATTAAAATGCCGACTTTGTGGTCTATTTTCGTATAGTATTTGTGGTTGTATTCTCGTTTTCATGGTCTCATTTGATAGAATGGAAACTATATTATAGAAATGGAGGTGATTTTGATTAATTTTACTATAAAAAGAACCTGGAAATGGAGCACAAAGTACAGGAAATGTTTGATTTTTGCCGATAGTTCAAAAGTAAACAAATGATGTCATTGTCCAATAAATGTCCAAATAGCCATTCCTAATACGCAGTCATGAAGGGTTGATGTAATTTTTACAATTATTACAGTATTGCAGTAGTCTGCATAACAGTAAATCTTCTATTTTTGTTTGAATAAAATTTCAAAATAAAAAGCAAGAGTAATATCACAGGACCGGGAGACATGACTGATAAACAAAGAAAATTTTATTTTAGAGCCAGGAATGTCTGCATTGTTCATTCGGGACCTTTTTTTAAAATTTGTGTATTTTTTAATTTTCGTGAAATTTGGCCAAATTGCAAAAATTTTTGACCTGTTAGGGGGGTTGAAATCGGGGAAAAAGGGGAGTTTTTGTGCTCAATCGATAGAAAAAAAGAGTTTGAAGAATAGTTGAGTTTTGGGTTGACTGGAATAACGGAATTAGCCGAAAATAGGGGTCAAAATGGGCAAATTGCCCCATTTTTAAATATCGCCGAAGTTTCTAACTTTGCGAGAAAACGAATTCCGCAGTTTTCCATCAAATTTTGTTTTT